TTGCCAGTAGCATAGCGTTATTGAGTGCAATTGACGCAAAAATGGAAAATGCATCAAATTGCCGCTGCGCTATACTTCGTCGTTGGGGACTTTTCATGTTTTCAATATTTTTGTAGAAAGACGAGGACCAAATCTACGGGCCCTCCAATTTTCAGTTTTTTTCACAAATTCCTTTGAGCACGAAAAAACCCTGAAGATGGACGACTTTTCCCCTGCGAAAATCGCTATGACCCATACATGTCCGCGGGAAGATGAAACCTACGCTGAATGGATGCAGCGATTTACTTCATGGTCAAATATGCTTTTGTCATTTTTCTGGATATTTTTATTGTAAAGATCAGGACGTAATCTATGGGACATAATTTTTTTTGTACTTTTTCACTACCTACCACTACTCCCAAGGCTATACAAGGGACCCCTGCAAGCATAGCTTTCTACCTCTCTTCAGTAAAGGGAGGTTACCTCTCTTGGTGGAGAAAGGTAATGAGAGAAAGACATGTTCCATGACATGGCAGAACGCCAGTTAAAAAATATGTAAGGTGAGAGAAAAATATATGGCCCCGATGAGGAGATGGCAGCTTAAAAAAAAGTCATGATAATAACGAGGGAAAATTTTCGATATGCCCCTGAAAATGCAAGTGATTCGCCACATGCCCCTCCAGCAGCGGACTTACCCTGTCGTACTCCTGGGGCCTCTGAACTTTCCTTCAGGCCCCTGTCGATGATGGGTGCAACTTTCCAGCATGCCCCTGTGGCCATTGGTGGCACTCGCAGCTGTTCCCCTGGCTTTGGGAGGCGAGCTACCGGGGCATACTGGAAATTTGGAACCAGTACTGGTAGGGGCATATTGAACATAATTCAGGCCCAGACAATGCCAGGGGTTTTTCAGAACCTTCAATCATTGTCAGAGGGGCATGACATGGTAAGTTGGCCGTCAGAGGGGCATGCTACCAATAAATCAAACTTTCAGGGGCATATCAAAAGTTTCGCCCAGTAATAATAATAATAAAATTCAGATTTTTTTGTGAATCCTTCTGAGCAGAAAAAATCACGAAAGTTGAGATTTTTTTTTTTTTTTTTTTAATTGCCACCGACCCACTAATGGTTAATAGGTGGCGTCATTTCCGGCTAAGTTTTGACGTTCTTGCAGCGAAAAACCGAGTAAGCTATACTCTCTTTGTGGTGAGGCAGCGAAAAACCCCGAGTTGTGGGCCTTCCATTACCAATGCTGGCCGAATTGTCCCCGATGAAGAACATCCAGGCCTTGCTCAAAATAGACACAGGGCCAGGATTCGATATATGGTCATGTGGTTGGTGGTGGTGGTGGTGGTGGGGGGTTCAAGAACGCCCTTGCCATCAGGTGAAAAAAAAGTGGGCTGTAAGGTACACAAATGTTGAAAAACAAAGACAAAAAAAGAAACACACGATGTGGCCCCCATCTGGCCTTTTCATTGAAGGCGGCAGCACACTTGACCTCCAAACTCGCACATATGAAATGCAGGCGAAAGCATAAGTCCGTGCAAGAGAGAGAGAGAGAGAGAGAGAGAGAGAGAGAGAGAGAGAGAGAGAGAGAGAGAGAGAGAGAGAGAGAGAGAGAGAGAGAGAGAGAGAGAGAGAGAGAGAGAGAGAGAGAGAGAGAGAGAGAGAGAGAGAGAAGGAAAAATAGAGAGAGAGAAGGGGGGGGGAGGAGAGGGGGGCAGAGGGGAAAGTCCAGTGAAGGAGGGAGCGGGGGATTTTTTTTGTGGCTTTCCTCTGGTTTCTGTTCCCCCCGCCATCCTAATTTGAATCAGGAACTGCCACTTGCCATTGTCCGGGTCATCAGGCAATCCGGATGAATCCGGGTCCGAACAATCCAGTCGGACCATACGGCTGGAGTTGTCGAGCTGCCTAGGCTATTTGCCATTTTAAGACATTGTTCCGGAACGAGGAACAGCATCAAATCTGCAAGCCCGATGAGAAAAACGCAGGCAGTAGACACAGGGAGGCTGACAATGTGCAAAGAGAGGGAGCAACGCAAGCAGCAGCGAACGAGGAACAGGAAAATGGACGGGAGGAGGCGGGTATATAGGTGATTCAGGTTCAGCTCGATCACTCGGCCTTCTTCCTGTTAGGTAATTAGGAGGATTAGTTGCAGTTGCTCGTCGGTGCGCGTTAGAGTACATTCTGAAACAGTTACGCTAGGGCTTCGATGATGCGTCCACGGCAGACACTTCAGCTGCATGCATGTTGTCTGCGCTTCCGTATTTCATATGTTTGTGTAAGTCATCCTTGCGCAGGGCCCATGCTATTCTGCTCTGTATTGCTCCAATTTTAACAGATGCTTCCGCATTAACATAGACTGAACCGAGATTTTTGCACCCAAGAAAACACAAACCACCATGGTTTGTAGTGTCTTTCAGCTCGATTCGGTACTGAGCAGTGAGCAGGAGGTGGTATCCCAAGATAAAATATCATCAAATGAACCAACAAGCAAACACATATTCTTGTGCGGTGTGAAGATCGCCCTGAAGGAGTTCATTGACAAACTTCGCCTCACATCCCAATTGAGAGCGAAAATGGCTATTCTACTCCGGCATCAGTCCCCACCGGGAGTCCTACAACCTGATGGTGTAGGAAGTGCCATCAGCAGCATAGAGATAGGTGTAATCAGAGGCCACAAACCGCAGATGCTTTTCTATGTCTAGCAGTCACAATGTGTCATATAGCCTTGATGATCTTCAGGGGTCTTCGTGAGCGCGATGCCCGTGAAGCATAAATAATAAAATATAGAATTTATTTATACTAAATTTCATAGGCAATTACTTATCGGTTTCACTCATGACTCAGTGATGACATTTGATCTTCAGATAACTTCCCACGGGCTCCTGCTTGGTACAGCCTCGAGTGGAAATAGTTCGAAAGACACTACGGATAATGGAACACGCAGGCGCACGTCTCTTCTTGGGGGCAAATAATCCCCGTGCGCTAAGATGGCTCTCTCCGCATCTTGCGCACTCGATGAGGCTGCGGCTTCAGTATTTCTGGTCATACCTCCAATGGCCCAACTTATCAGACTGCTGGCTTGGTCCCTGCACAGCCCGGGATGGCCAGACAGTCCCAGTCCCAGACAGCTGGGAGGGGCCCGGGCATCTGGGATTGAAGCGCCGGCTAATTGAAGAATTGGAGTGAATGGTGACAAGGGCTACCTTGGCTGAGTGATCTTGTGCCAGGCGACCCGATGGATTGTGTGGGGAGCGATGGGGTCATTCTTCCAGATAAATCTGCAAACTGCATTTTTATATTGCCTCTGCGGTGCAGGGGCAGGGGAGGAGACTGCACCGGCATACCAGAGCATGGATGAGGCCGCCGTATTGGTAAGGAGGGCTCTGCCAAACACCCCAACATTCAAGTTTCTGCTGCAGAAAGTCAGTCTCCTAGTTGCCTTTGTCATCAGATCTTCAATCTGTGTCCTGTCTGTAAAGGGCGTTTGGCATCACAAAATGCCCAAATATGTAGTCGCATCCGTGGCCGGTTGCACTCGCATCCCCTCGAAAAGGTGTGCTGCATTCATGTCCGGCAAGAGCGCGACGGACTTATGCCAATTCATCTGCTCTCACAGTTTGTATTCGCAC